TTCAATCACATCCGGTAAATATATGATTATTTATGTAAACATTAATCGAAGCTGGAGATTATTCGATTTTTTAATTAACCACTACTCGAGAATCTGATTTTTTCAGTTTTATAAGCAATCAGTAATTGAAATTCACGATTATTCGATTACTTAATCAATTATTCATTGACAATGAAAAATACTTGAATACTAAAAGAATTATGTATCAGGATTGTGTGTATATTTAATGTTTTTTGGATTCGTGTATTCATTTATTATGAGTGCTGATCTTGTGGTAGTGGTTAGACACTCCACCGTATAGTGGAAATAAAATCTCTTGATAGCATAACATAACACAATACATTTTTTTTTCAACATTAATGATAATTTTCCAATAATTTTCAACAAGGCACATTACCGAATCATCTCGGATACTAACAAAAAAAATAGATTCTTGATTCTCATCATTAACAAAAACAGAACTAAATAGAAATTTCCCTCTTTGAACTAACAAAAAAATATCATAAATGACTAACAAACAAAATTATATGTCAAAATATGTCGCTTTTTCTAAAAAATTCTATTGATTTTCTTTGAAATTCTACAAGAATTCTATGAGATTTTTATTAAAATTCTATTGAAAAATTTCATTTTTTGCACCAATTCTATTAAAAATTCTGCGATTTTCCTATTCATTTGTTAATAGATATTTGTTCATAGAATAAAGCCGATGAAGGTCGATTTTTCTATATAACTTATTCTTTTGGAATTCTTCTTATGTGAATTTTTGGGAATTTTCCAAGTTTTATTTTGTGATTTTATTATGAGGAACAAATGAAATAAAAAAAATTTGATTGCATTTGATATGATAAAACGGAAAAAATCATGACATTAAATTTAAAAAATATAATAAAAAAAGTCTTCCTGCCTCATTTTTCCTAAAAACTTGAGTATTTAGTAATCTGATAGAGTAATCGATTAAGTTTCAGTTCTGAATACGAATTATTCAATCAAAGAAGTCTTCAGTTGAATTAACGTGTAATCAAATATTTTTTGTCAGATTAACGCTTAATTAATTAATCAAATAATTTCTCAGTCAAATCAACGCTTAATGAAATAATTAAATATTTTTTGTAATTGATTGACGATTGGTGGAGTAATTCATCAATACAACTTGCGATTGATGAATTATTAAGTAATCAACCATATTTACGTTATGATTATCAATTGATTAAATATTCAAGAGTTTTGAGTCCTGATTGCCGATTTGTCTTGTAATCAAAAAATCAATGGAGAGATTNCCAATAATTGACATTTCAATTATTTGATTTATCTGATTAATATTCAATCACATCCGGTAAATATATGATTATTTATGTAAACATTAATCGAAGCTGGAGATTATTCGATTTTTTAATTAACCACTACTCGAGAATCTGATTTTTTCAGTTTTATAAGCAATCAGTAATTGAAATTCACGATTATTCGATTACTTAATCAATTATTCATTGACAATGAAAAATACTTGAATACTAAAAGAATTATGTATCAGGATTGTGTGTATATTTAATGTTTTTTGGATTCGTGTATTCATTTATTATGAGTGCTGATCTTGTGGTAGTGGTTAGACACTCCACCGTATAGTGGAAATAAAATCTCTTGATAGCATAACATAACACAATACATTTTTTTTTCAACATTAATGATAATTTTCCAATAATTTTCAACAAGGCACATTACCGAATCATCTCGGATACTAACAAAAAAAATAGATTCTTGATTCTCATCATTAACAAAAACAGAACTAAATAGAAATTTCCCTCTTTGAACTAACAAAAAAATATCATAAATGACTAACAAACAAAATTATATGTCAAAATATGTCGCTTTTTCTAAAAAATTCTATTGATTTTCTTTGAAATTCTACAAGAATTCTATGAGATTTTTATTAAAATTCTATTGAAAAATTTCATTTTTTGCACCAATTCTATTAAAAATTCTGCGATTTTCCTATTCATTTGTTAATAGATATTTGTTCATAGAATAAAGCCGATGAAGGTCGATTTTTCTATATAACTTATTCTTTTGGAATTCTTCTTATGTGAATTTTTGGGAATTTTCCAAGTTTTATTTTGTGATTTTATTATGAGGAACAAATGAAATAAAAAAAATTTGATTGCATTTGATATGATAAAACGGAAAAAATCATGACATTAAATTTAAAAAATATAATAAAAAAAGTCTTCCTGCCTCATTTTTCCTAAAAACTTGAGTATTTAGTAATCTGATAGAGTAATCGATTAAGTTTCAGTTCTGAATACGAATTATTCAATCAAAGAAGTCTTCAGTTGAATTAACGTGTAATCAAATATTTTTTGTCAGATTAACGCTTAATTAATTAATCAAATAATTTCTCAGTCAAATCAACGCTTAATGAAATAATTAAATATTTTTTGTAATTGATTGACGATTGGTGGAGTAATTCATCAATACAACTTGCGATTGATGAATTATTAAGTAATCAACCATATTTACGTTATGATTATCAATTGATTAAATATTCAAGAGTTTTGAGTCCTGATTGCCGATTTGTCTTGTAATCAAAAAATCAATGGAGAGATTAATGGATTGAAAATATAATCATCAATCTGAGCTGTAATCATTACCAAAGTAATGGTTAATGCCGATGCCTGGTAACGAGTTCGAATTGCCGTTTTTGAAGGTAATGACTGGCTGTGATCCTCTTTTTTTCATCCTCTAAATATGACGAAAGTTTATCAATACTGCTTGCCATAAAACGGAATGAGTCAATGAATCTCAAGTGGACTCTTGTCGATTTGACCGATTTTGTGAAGGAAACGTATTTCTCGTTATTAATTGGGAGTAATGTCACTGCGCCTTGGAATTGTTTTGCTACAGATTTAATAAAAAAATGTGAGTCATAATCTGACAAATTGTGAAAAACTACTGGGATTACACACGATTCCATGTAATTCAGATTGTTGCGTCGCAACATGTTTTTTTTTATAAGAACAATTTATTCAACAACTTTTAAGAAAAGAAAATTTCATTAAATATTTTCGAAAGGAGAAAAATATCTTCCAAATACTCGAGACCTTCCGCTAGGCACAAACAAAATCATAAATAACACTCGAAATACTTGAGAGAAACGTGAAATCTCGAAAACCGAGACAAAATCACGTACAGACAATTTTCGAACAAAGAACTTTTTTTATATCTCGAGTTGAAATCCTCAAACCAGAAATTTCCCAATTTTTCGTGCGCCTTTACCCAGACGCAGCCCTTTAGGTGGTCCGTCGAGTGGTCAACACGTGTGCAACACTCGCCCTCAACGCGTACCGAGGCGCTTTCCCTTTTTTTTTGTACATCCACTTTTCCTTGTCACTTTACTTGACCAATTGCAACCCAAGAAAGTGTCAACGGCTTTTCCAACCAATAGAAATCCCTTTTGAAATCCCTTCCATTTTTGCAAGGCAAACGCTAAGTAACTTCTCCTGAAATTCTCCAAGTTCAGTTCACACCCACGGGTCCAAGTATTCACATCGCGAAATATTCTCAAGTCCTAGCTAAGGTGGCAAGTCAAGTCAATTTAAATAATTCAAAGACTAAAGATATTTTATAAGACTAGCGTAAAATAGAATAAGTGTTTGTGGAATTAAATAGTGGTTAAAGTGACTCAACGCATTTATTCATTTATTAAAAACATNTCTGATTTTTTCAGTTTTATAAGCAATCAGTAATTGAAATTCACGATTATTCGATTNTGTGAAGGAAACGTATTTCTCGTTATTAATTGGGAGTAATGTCACTGCGCCTTGGAATTGTTTTGCTACAGATTTAATAAAAAAATGTGAGTCATAATCTGACAAATTGTGAAAAACTACTGGGATTACACACGATTCCATGTAATTCAGATTGTTGCGTCGCAACATGTTTTTTTTTATAAGAACAATTTATTCAACAACTTTTAAGAAAAGAAAATTTCATTAAATATTTTCGAAAGGAGAAAAATATCTTCCAAATACTCGAGACCTTCCGCTAGGCACAAACAAAATCATAAATAACACTCGAAATACTTGAGAGAAACGTGAAATCTCGAAAACCGAGACAAAATCACGTACAGACAATTTTCGAACAAAGAACTTTTTTTATATCTCGAGTTGAAATCCTCAAACCAGAAATTTCCCAATTTTTCGTGCGCCTTTACCCAGACGCAGCCCTTTAGGTGGTCCGTCGAGTGGTCAACACGTGTGCAACACTCGCCCTCAACGCGTACCGAGGCGCTTTCCCTTTTTTTTTGTACATCCACTTTTCCTTGTCACTTTACTTGACCAATTGCAACCCAAGAAAGTGTCAACGGCTTTTCCAACCAATAGAAATCCCTTTTGAAATCCCTTCCATTTTTGCAAGGCAAACGCTAAGTAACTTCTCCTGAAATTCTCCAAGTTCAGTTCACACCCACGGGTCCAAGTATTCACATCGCGAAATATTCTCAAGTCCTAGCTAAGGTGGCAAGTCAAGTCAATTTAAATAATTCAAAGACTAAAGATATTTTATAAGACTAGCGTAAAATAGAATAAGTGTTTGTGGAATTAAATAGTGGTTAAAGTGACTCAACGCATTTATTCATTTATTAAAAACATTCATTCATCCTAATTAAAAAATACAAACACTAGCTAGGTGAAAATACGGTAGCTTAGCAGTTCTCGTTTTCTCGTAGTGAGACTCCACGTCAGTCGTATCGGACTTTACGCACCCGATAAGGTAAATAATAACTTCACTGCAGAACGAGACATTAAAATGGTTCTTCGAGCCGGATTGTCTTAAAATCCAATCAAGCCATAAACATTCAGTTCATAAATAAACACTTGTGACATTACTCATGACTTTTGTGCAGTGGAGTTGAAGTGAAATAAATCAAAACGCCTAACGACGGTAACGATGCTATCGTTGAAAATAATGCAGCAACTGTCGCCAGAATCACCGAGTTGGCGAGAAAAATGCCACGGTGGAAAGGCCGTACGACAGTGGCAAAGAAACAATTAAAATTATTTGCCTCCAAAAGTACTGTCGACGTTACAGCGGTGGAGGAGAGTATGTCGAAGTATATCAATAATTTTGCTCAATTTGAAACCCTCATGGACGAGCAGGATGACCTAGACCCACAAGGAGAATATCACTCATTGACAGGTCGCTTTGCAATTGAAAGTGATTATCTGGAGGTTCTCCAGGAAGCGGAGGTAGTTAAAGGCGTATGCCTGAGCCTCCCCATAAGGAGAACCTCAGAAGCTTCAGAACGCTCCTATGCCAGTTCATCGACCTCTTCAGGGTCCATCAAAGGAAAACTTCCAGATCCTAAACTGCCTACATTTTGGGGAGATGTCACTCAATACATGTCTTTCAAGATCAACTTCAACTCAGTCGTTGCAAAGCATCGTGAATTAAACAAATCGGACATGCTCAATTATTTAATATCGGGGTTGAAGGGAGAAGCAGTGCGCAAAGTACAAATGCTCTCAATTTCAGACGAGAATTATAACCGAGCTTGGCAAATTCTCGACAAAGCGTATTCAGATACACGAGTCATTGTATCCAGACACCTTCACCAGCTGTTGAAAATGCCTCAGCAAGAGAAGGAAGTTGTAGAAGGCTTGGCTAAACTAGTTGACAGTACGCGCCAACACATGGAGTCCGGAAACGGATTAAATATCGTCGTAGGTGATCAGCTGATAGTGGCACTATTGGAACAAAAATTAGCTAAGGTCACTACTGATGCCTGGGATGACAAGCAAGAGCGCGGGGTGCTTCCTCAACTGGAGGACATGCTGGATTTTCTCACGCGACGTGGTTCGAGACTTCAAACACGCAACAAGGAAAAAATTGGAATAGCGACAGAGTCTTCGACCAAGTCAAATCATAAGCACAAAAGAGAACAATCGAAAATTTATGCATTTAATTCAACCACTGGTAAATCGTGTCAAGCATGTGATGAAACCTTCCATGCTCTCTTCAAATGCAATAAATTCAGAGATTTATCAGTGGAACAACGCATAAAAATTGCAAAACAATCAAATGTATGCCTCAACTGTCTCAACAAACACAAGGGTGAGTGCAAATACGGGGGCTGCAGACATTGTCCAGAGAAACATAATTCTCTATTGCATTCAGAGTCAATGGGTGAACGAGAGTCTCTCACAGCCATGAAAGCTCAAATCTCATCGAATCAAGTCATGACCACCGCCATTGTGAACATGGTGAGTCAATCAAATCAATCAATTCCCTGTCGAGTTCTATTGGACACCGGCGCAACGGCCAATTTCATCACAGAAGAGCTCGCAGTGAAACTCAATCTACGAAAGAAGGCGTGTGTCATCCCTATCGATACATTAAGTGAGATGGCAACATACACTAAACACGTAGTTACTGCTACCATAACTTCGAGATACAATGGATTCAAGAAAGAGTGTACATTCCTGACGGTTCCAAGGATTTCGTCGCTGACTCAAAATTCATTAATACCCAGAGAGTCTGTGAGAATCCCATTTAATATTCATCTAGCAGATCCTGAGTTCTACAAGCCACCTCCAATAGATATCCTATTGGGCACTGAAGCAACACTCTCCTTACTCACCGTTGGGCAGATTGACCTGTCACCGCCAGAAGGTCCAGACTTATTCCTGCATAAAACCCAGTTGGGATGGATTCACGGTGGGGCAATTCAAAAGCAGCAAGGCTCAAACAAAATCCAATATCATCAAGCAAATGTCGACTTGGATCTACAAAAATTCTGGAAAATCGAAGAAATTTCAGACAAAAAGGTATATTCAGCTGGAGAGCAAAAGGCTGTGGAACACTTCAAGCATCATCACAGTCGGGACTCTACAGGGAGGTACACAGTAGCCCTCTCATTCAAGGAAAAACAGAATCTCTTGGGTAATTCTTATCGAATGGCTCTCAAACGTTTCCATTCTCTAGAACGCAAGTTTTCCAAGGATCCAGAGCTATTCGAACAATACTCAGCAAACATTGACAAGTATTTACGTTTGAATTATTTAACCAAGGTTAAAAACCCTGCGGACACGAAGTTTTATTTGCCGCACCATTCTGTAATCAAGAAAGACAGCATCAAAACCAAAGTCAGAGTTGTTTATGATGGCTCTGCGAAGACAACGACAGGTGTATCGCTGAATGAATCGTTGATGGTGGGACCAACACTTCAAGAAGACATCTTCTGGCTAATTCTCCATTTTCGCACTCATCAGTATGCACTGACAGGTGACATCGAAAAAATGTACCTGCAATTTGGAATCAGAGAAGAGGATCGCCGGTATCAGAGAATTTTGTGGAGAGATGAAGGTGGAGAAATCGCCGTATACGAGCTCAACAATGTCACCTTCGGACTCTCATCCTCACCGTATCAAGCTGTCCAATGTCTCCAACAACTTGCAGATGATGAGGCTCAACATCATCCTGTTGCTGGAACTGTTATGAAAAATCACATGTATGTTGATGACCTACTTTCAGGCTTCGATACAATACACGAAGCTAGGCAGGCTCGTGAAGAAATCTCTGCAATGCTCGCAAGGGGTGGGCTCAATATGAAGCATTGGGCATCCAATGAGCCCAAGCTGCTGGAAGGTCTACCTCAAGATGCTATACATCAAAAACTTCAATTGGATGATGGGTCGACGCTCAAGACACTGGGAGTGTATTGGGACGCACAGTCTGACTCTATCACGTACACAGTGAAGCCAGTATCTCCAGAAGAGAAAGTAACCAAGAGAGTCATCATGTCAGAAGTTGCTACAATTTATGATCCTCTGGGACTACTAGGTCCAGTCATTCTGACTGTTAAAACAATAATTCAAAAGCTCTGGAAGTCAAATTGGAGTTGGGACGAGTCTGTCCCTAACAGCATTCACACGGAATGGAATGCATATTGTGCTGAACTGAATCAGCTGAACGAGATTTAATTCCCACGCAAAATTTGTCCACCGAAGGGCAGAGAATTGCAACTGCATGGATTCAGTGGTGCAAGTGAAACAGGATATGGTGCTTGCATTTACATACGCTCAACAGACAATCAAGGAGTTGTGGAATCCACACTATTTTGTGCTAAATCAAAGGGAGCACCTGTGAAAAAAGTTGACATTCCTCACCTGGAATTATGTGGGGCTCTGCTGCTCTCCAAACTGTACCAGAGCGTCAAGTCAACTATTGAAATTCCCATCAAGAGAACTGTCTTCTGGTCTGATTCAATGATCACCTTGTACTGGATCAAGAAATCCACAGATTCTTTGAAAACATTTGTGGCCAATCAAGTTGCAGAAATTCAATCAACCACTCAGGGATGTGAATGGAAACATGTTCCTGGAGTTTGTAATCCAGCGGACGCCTTGTCTAGAGGTCAGTCCCCAACAGCATTTATGGGCAATTAACTCTGGAAAACTGGGCCATCCTGGCTGCTGGAGCCAGAGGACAACTGGCCAACTGCTCCTGTGACTGAGCCAACTGAGGATCCAGAGGCCAAGAGACTCACAGTGATGAGGACTTCCCTCATCGACACAACGCTCTTAGAGAAATACTCATCCATCAACAAAGTAAAAAGAATTATTCCCTACTTGTTGCGATTCAAAGTAAGCAACAAGTTCAAAGGTCCAGTGCAACTGGAAGAATTAATTAAAGCTGAGGAAACAATCATCAAGATGGTGCAATATCAATCTTTCCTCGAGAGCTTCATGACCTTCAAAATAAGGAACCAGTGGGAGACAAGAGTAAACTGCAAGGTCTGAATCCAGTACTCGACTCCAGTGGTATCATCAGAGTGGGTGGAAGGCTGAGCAAGTCAGAGCTTCCCTACGAGCAGAAATATCCCATTCTGTTGCCTAAAAATCATCACATTACTGAAATGATTGTCAGACATGCACACCAGGAGCATGCACATGCAGCAGTGTCAGCTACATTATATGCACTACGACGAAGATTTTGGAGTATGGGTGGACGCAATTACATTCGTCAACTCCTCTTCAAGTGCATTCCATGTATCAAGGCAAAGCCGCCCACTGTCGACTACATCATGGGTGACCTGCCACAGGCGCGGGTCACAAAAGCAAGATCCTTCCTCAATGTCGGAGTAGACTACTGCGGTTCCTTCATGGTGAAGGAGAAGCAACACCATAATCGAGGTCAGGTGAAAACATATGTTGCAGTTTTCGTTTGCCTGGTCACTAAGGCAATTCACCTGGAGCTGGTCAGTGGCATGACCACTGCAGGATTCATGGCAGCATTACGACGATTCATCGCTAGAAGAGGCAGGTGCCAACTCATTCAGTCAGACAACGGGACCAATTTCGTTGGCGCAAACAACGAAATGACTGAACTAGTCGAAACACTTCGATCGGAAGCCCACAATAAGGAGGTGGCTGCTTTCCTCAATGACAAGGGAATAAAATGGCGTTTCATCCCACCAGCAGCACCACATTTCGGTGGAATCTGGGAGGCCGCCGTTAAGTCATTTAAACACCACCTCAAGAGAGTTGTGGGCCCAGAATTGCTGACTTTTGAACAATTAAATACGTTCATCATCGAGATTGAATCAATTCTCAACTCTCGCCCACTCACACCAGTGTCATCAGACCCCAACGATTTGTTGGCACTAACACCAGGGCACTTCTTGATCGGAGAATCACTCACGAGTCTACCTGAGCACGATCTGAGGAAAGTACCCAACAATCGCCTCGACAATTGGGAGCTCATTCAAAAGATTCGCCAACACTTCTGGCAGAGATGGTACAAGGAGTACTTGAGTGAGCTAACGATGAGAAGGAAATGGAAGTCAGGCCAGCACTCAATCAAGGAAGGTGCACTGGTCATTCTGAAGGAAGACAACCTGCCACGCATGCATTGGAAGCTGGGGCGTATCATCGAGATTCATCCAGGCAATGACGGTATGGTCAGAGTGGCCACAATCAAAACAGCCAGTGGTATCCTGAAACGCACTGTGAAGAAGCTCTCTCCTCTTCCAGTGCCAGATAACGATAAAGAAAATTAAATCCGTAAAATTTCAAATCAATAATAACCATGAGATTGTTGATCGGTATGACCTCTCAAAGGTCCAGGATGTTGCGTCGCAACATGTTTTTTTTTTATAAGAACAATTTATTCAACAACTTTTAAGAAAAGAAAATTTCATTAAATATTTTCGAAAGGAGAAAAATCTCTTCCAAATACTCGAAACCTTCCGCTAGGCACAAACAAAATCATAAATAATACTCGAAATACTTGAGAGAAACGTGAAATCTCCAAAACCGCGACAAAATCACGTACAATTCGTTCGAGATAATTTTCGAACAAAAAACTTTTTTTATATCTCGAGTTGAAATCCTCAAACCAGAAATTTCCCAATTTTTTGTGCGACTTTACCCGGACGCAACCCTTTAGGTGGTCCGTCGAGTGGTCAACACGTGTGCAACACTCGCCCTCAACGCGTACCGAAGCGCTTTCCCTTTTTTTTTGTACATCCACTTTTCCTTGTCACTTTACTTGACCAATTGCAACCCAAGAAAGTGTCAACGGCTTTTCCAACCAATAGAAATCCCTTTTGAAATCCCTTCCATTTCTGCAAGGCAAAGGCTAAGTAACTTCTCCTGAAATTCTCCAAGTTCAGTTCACACCCACGGGTTCAAGTATTCACATCGCGAAATATTCTCAAGTCCTAGCTAAGGTGTCAAGTCAAGTCAATTTAAATAATTCAAAGACTAAAGATATTTTATAAGACTCGTGTAAAATAGAATAAGTGTTTGTGGAATTAAATAGTGGTTAAAGTGACTCAACGCATTTATTCATTTATTAAAAACATTCATTCATCCTAATTAAAAAATACAAACACTAGCTAAGTGAAAATACGGTAGCTTAGCAGTTCCTGTTTTCTCGTAGTGAGACTCCACGTCAGTCGTATCGGACTTTACGCACCCGATAAGGTAAATAATAACTTCACTACGGAACGAGACACAGATTACAGCCGGGGTGAGTAGCACCACGATATTTGCCTGTGAAGTGGCAATGATCTCGATGTTTCACTGCTTTTTCGATGAATGCTCTGCCACAAACATAACAATTTTTAGCTGCATTAAATGCTCGCAGCATTTCAAAAGTCAAGTTCATCGGTTCATTTCGTTGTAATTCAGAATCGACTTTTATCGCTAAAAGATGTAACTGCTCAGTGAACCATTGTATGCAGTCTTCTCACGATAAATAAAGAGTTCCGAATTTGAGTCATCATAATTAGATTTCACATAAAATGCGACACTGAATGGCACACGCTTTTGATATATTTTAGTGTTTTGATCAATGTCATTGAGTACTTTTTCCAATAAACATTTAGTATCGGCATATACAACATATGGAACAGCCAGTTGATTTTTGAAGTTTTAAAATTTCAAATTTCTTTCATCACCACGGGGAAAAATCATTCGACACTTGTTGATTGATACGCAATCGAGCCTATGCTTAGTCTAGGCCTCTTCCTTGAAAAAGTGGCATAAACACCTGTCACAGAAAAGTGTTCTACTTTTTTTCTTTGAAAATTGATAGCTGAGTAAGCGAGATAAATTCGAGATACATGTATATAGTGATGAATTCTTTCTTGTTTACCGTCGAGGATGTCTTCTTTTTCAATCATGAGAAGGTGAATCGTTTTTCCTTCCTTATGCAGTGCGGTTGGAGGGTTTCTGCTCAAGTACAGTGGCACAATCCATTTTTTTTCTGATTCTTCGCTACTATCAATTCCATATACATTAATCGACAATTCATTCATTTTCTCAAACTTTGGAATGTCTTTTAATGCCATGGGGTAAGTGAAGTTACCAAAGCTTTTCATGATAGTACTGAAAGGGGGATATGAGTTAGGTCGTTTCTTGTCTTGAACGTTGCAACGAGCGGCCATAATGGACCATAAAAAGCAGTAGGCATCGTCTTTATTTTGAATGTACACGACAGCATGTTTCTTTTTAATCCATTCAGGTAGTTCAACGAAGCTAGATCCTCCCCGCGATGGATTATATTTATTCATATTCACTTCTAAATTGCTGACGTCAACTAAGCTCCAGCCAGAGTCTCTTTCCTAGAACTCATCCGCTTTCACTAGAAGTTTTTCTCTTATGTCTTCACCGAACCACTGCCTAATATAAGTTGAATCAAGAATTATTTCATTTTTTGTATTGAAATATTTCTCTTTTTCAATAAGAGGGGCATGTTAGAAATCAATAACGATTTGATGAGCCGGGTGGTCGGGAGGAAAAGTAAGGTTCGGGTTAACCGGTTGATAATTAGCCGGAGGTAATTTGATGAGTTTTCTTTAATAAACGTAATTATGCACTGAAAATTACACAACACAGAGTTTAATAAATAGATGATTTCCGAGTGGACTGTATACAACTTAACAAAAAGATGATTTGCGATTATAATGTTCGATAATAGTTGCGATGATTTTCCGGCACTTTCACTCGATGAAGTTCGATGGCGTACTAAAGATACGACACGCACGATCGTCCTCGTGCGTGTTCGTCGATGCCCGAAGGTTTCTGAGCGAGCAAAATTCGACATTTAGCCCGACTGAAGGATGATTTTCAACATCCCGCCCGCCCTGCGTCACCTCCAGGTGACGATGTATATCTGATGATTATGATGACGTATCACTGTCGACCTTCCAAAAGGTCGTCGTTGATCGGCAAAGGCACCAGCCTGTGGATGGACCTTTGAGTCTCCTGGTTGCCTTTCCTCAGTGCGACAACTCTGGTCAGGTTGTCTTGTCCCGGATGAATTGCGATGACTCGAACCAGAGGCCACTTGGCTGGTGGCTCCCGCTCGTCAATGATGAGGACCAAGGAACCGATTTTTACTTCGTTCGTTGGCTGCTTCCACCGATAGATTTGCTGGTAACGATGAATGCATTCTCGTGCCCAGTGTTCCCAGAAATTCTGAAGCCTCTGGGAGATGATTTGCCATCTGTTCAGTCTTGCTGTGTTGATCTGCTGAAGTGAAGGCTCTGGAATTGTCGTGAGCGCTTCTCCTATGATGAAGTGTCCTGGTGTCAGGGCTGATGTGTCCTGCGGGTCGTTTGTGAGTGGGCAGAGTGGTCGTGAGTTAAGTATGGCCTCGACTTGCGTCAGAAGAGTCGTAAATTCTTCGTACGTCAAGGTCGAGGTTCCGATGACCCTTCGTAGATGATGTTTCGTTGATTTCACTGCAGCCTCCCACTTGCCTCCCATATGCGGCGAGTGAGGAGGATTAAATTTCCATTGCGTTCCGTCGGATGCTAGCTGATCCCTGATAGTTGCCGATTCGCTTGATGCCTGGTCGAATAACCTTTGAAGTTCTCTCTCTGCCCCGATGAAGTTGACACCCCTGTCGCTGGACAGGGTTGCACAGATGCCCCGTCTCGATGTGAAGCGTTTGTACGCTGCGATGAGTCCCTCCGCTGTGCGGTCCGTTACCAGTTCCAGATGTGTTGCTGAAGTAGCAAAACATACAAACAGACAGATGTAAGCCTTGTACATTGTCTTGCTTGCCCCTGATCCTCTCCATCTCAGGATGTTGATTGGGCCTGCGAAGTCTACTCCTGAGTGGAGAAAGACCCTCGATGGTGTCACTCGTCGTGTTGGCAGCTGTCCCATCAGCTGTTGAGCCCTCAATGCTCGATGACGTGCGCAAATTACGCATTTGATGATGTGGGAGCGTACTGGAGCTCGTCCCCCGATGATCCAGTACCTCTGTCTGATGTGTGCCAAAGTTAGTTGAGTTCCTCCATGGGAGCTCCGTTGATGAGCCTCCGCGATGATGAGCGATGATAATGGCGAGTGACGGGGAAGAATGATTGGATTCTTCTTCTCCGGATCCAATGTTGATCGTCTTAGACCCCCGCCCAATCGCATGACGTCGTTATCCAAGTATGGCATCAACGTTGCCATACGATGATTGGCCGCTAAAGGGTTTCCGTCCCTCAGCGTGTTAACTTCTGCCTCGAAGTAGAGCTGCTGCGTGTATCTGACCCAAAACAGTCTCGCCTCTTCGAGTTCCTCTGGTTCCAATTGTGGAGAATCGGGTAGCGGCTGTCTTCTGAAGCGTTTTGCTGCGCGGTTTACCCAGGCTGTAACCCGCAGTAGCTTTGTGAGCGATGAATATCTGATGATTAGCGCATTTGTCTCGGCAATCTGCACTGGATGTGAGCTGATGATGGGCGGCCTCGCTTCCTGTGCCGCTTCTGATGATACCTCTTTTGATGATGCTAGGTCCATTGATGATGCTAGCCATTGGTCTGGTGGCAGGACAAGCCATGATGACCCTGTCCACCATAGATGGTGCTCCGCCAGTTGTTTCGGGGTGAGACCCCTTGATGCGCAGTCCGCCGGATTCTCCTTCCCATTGATGTGTCTCCAAGTTGCAGAGGGCAGGGTATCTCGTATCTTAAGAACCCTGTTCTGTACGAAATCCTTCCAACGGGCAGGGTCCCCGTTGATCCAGGTGATGGCTACCGATGAGTCGCTCCATAGATAAATATCGATGTTGTCCAACTCCAAAGCTCTTTTGACATAAGCCACGAGTTCTGTGACCATGACTGCTGCCGTGAGCTCCACTCTTGGAATGGTCTTCTTCTTGAGAGGGGCCATCTTGGTCTTGGCACAAACCAAGGTGACAGACGTTCCCGATGTCGTTGCGGATGTACGAAGATAGACCGATGCGCCCATTNAACTGGATCTGACGATAATTTTCCCAAAAGCTTAGATAGCCGTTTCTTGGCCGTTGATGCTGTATCTCCCAAGGCGTCTGGTGATGATTTAAAGGGAAGACGCAGGACATAACGTCCCGACGAATCCCTCTGATGAGTCTCGATAAAGTGTTATTCGCATTCGGCTTCAGCTTTGCTCATGACAACTGTTGATGATGTATCCGGTAGCTCCTCCTGGAGCCAGAACTTTTTTAGGAGTTCTAATAATTGTTGATTCGCCGTCTGCGTTGATGTTTTGAAGGATGATTTGGCGNATACAAGGTTAC